AAACTGGATATCCATATGCAGAAAAATGAAATTAGACCTTTATCTCTAGACATACACAAAATCGAATCAAAATGCATCAACTTCTTTTTAAAAATATTTATTTATTTATGTATCTTTTAGTTTTTAAGTGGATACATTAGTTTGTTTTTATGTGGTACCTAGGATTGAATCCAGTGCCTCATGCATGCTAGGCCAGCACTCTACCACTGAGCCATCACACCAGCCCAAAATGCATCAACTTCTTAAATGCAAGTCCTGCAACCATGAAAGTACTAGAAAAAACATAGGTAAAATGCTTTAGGAACATTGGGATTACACACCTGTAATTAGAGGGAAAGATTTTTTGCATATGATTTCAAAAGCACAGACATCAAAAGCAAAAATTGACAATTGGAAGTATATAAAACTAAAAAGTTTCTGTACAATAAAGAATCAATCAACAGTGAAGAGACCACCTATAGAATGAGAGAAAAATTTGCATACATTTCATCCAACAGAGATTAATATCCAGAATATGTAAAGAACTCAACCCAACAGTGAAATAAGAAAAATCAAATAATCAAATTTAAAAATGGGCAAAAGAAGACATACAAATGGCCAGTAACTATATGAAAAACTGCTCAACATCACTAATTATCAGGGAAATACAAATCAAAACCATGATGATATATATCACCTCACCCTTGTTTGGATGTCTACTACTTTTTAAAAAATAACAAGTATTGGTTAGGCTGTAGATTAAAAGACCACTTGTACTCTGCTAGTGAGAATGTAAATTGGTAGAGTCAGTTGGTAAAAGAGTAGAGAGCTTCCTCCAAAAACTAGAAATACAACTACCATATGACCCAGAAATCCAATTACTCAGTATAATCCAAAAGAATTAAAATCATCATTTTAAAGAGACATCTTCACTTGCCCATCACTGTGGTGCATGCCTATAATCCCAGAGGCTTTGGAGACAAAAGCAGAAGGATTGCAAGTTCAAAGCCAGACTCAGCAATTTAGCAAGGCCCTAAGCAACAACTCAGGGAGAACTTCTCTAAATAAAATATTAAAAAGAGTTGGGGATATGTGTATGTATATATGCTGTGAGTTCTGGGTTCAATCCCTGGTACTAAAAAAAAAGTCATCTGCACTTATATGTTTATTGCACTGTAGCCAAGATATAGAATAAACTTTAGTGTCCACCAATGGATGAATAGATAAAGAAAATATGGTATGTAAACACTATGAAATATTATTCCACCATAAAAAGAATGAAATTCTGTCAGTTGCAGCAGCATGGATAGAACTGGAGGTCATTGTTCTAAAAGAAATAAGCCAGATACAGGAACAGAAATACCTCATGGTCTCACCTATATGTGGAAGTTGAAAAACAAAATTTTTTTTAAATATTTATTTTTAGGTGTAGATGGACACAACACAATGCCTTTATTTTTATGTGGTGCTGAGGATTGAACCCGGGTCCTGCCAGTGCTAGGCGAGTGCTCTACCGCTGAGCCACAATCCCAGCCCCCAATTTTTTTTCATATTTATTTATTTTTTAGTTTTCAGCAGACACAACATCTTTGTTTGTATGTGGTGCTGAGGATCGAACCCAGGCCGTACGCATGCCAGGCAAGTGTGCTACCACTTGAGCCACATCCCCAGCCCCCCCAATTTTTTTAATATTTATTTTTTGGTTGTAACTGGACACAATATCTTTATTTTATTTATTTATTTTTATGTGGCACTGAGAATTGAACCCAGGGTCTCCCAAGTGCTAGGTGAGCACTCTACAGCAGAGCCACAATCCCAGACCCAGAAGTTGAGCAATTTGTCTCATAGAAATAGTAGGGGTAGGGGCTGGGATAGTGGCTCAGTGGTAGTGTGCTTGCCTGGCATGTGTGAGGCAGTGGGTTGGATCCCCAGTGTGGTAGCACATGCCTGTAATTCCAAAACCTCAGGCAGGAGAATCACAATCCATAAGCCAGCCTCAGTAAAAGCGAGGCACTAAGCATATCAATGAGACCCTGTCTCTAAATAAAATATAAAATAGGGAAGAAAAAAAATTAGGGCTGGGATGTGGCTCAATGTATTTAGAGACAGGGTGTCACTGAGTTGCTTAGTGCCTCATCGTTGCTGAGGCTGGATTTGAACAGGCAATCCTCTCCCTCAGGCTCCAGAGCAGCTCGAATTACAGGAGTGTGCCACGGCATCCGGCTGAATTTCATGTTTTAATAAATAAAATAATCTTTAATCTATCTTTAAAATGTTACCATTCTTTTAAAAAACACTTTATTTTATTTACTTATTTTTTATATGATGAACCCAGTGTCACATGTGCTAGGCAAGTGCTCTACCACTGAGCTACAACCCCAGCCCCAAAATGTTACCATTCTTTTCAGTTGTTTCAATGATAAAATCTTCCCAGATCATTAAAATTGTGATCTATGCCTCAGATCCCCAACCAATAGATGGAATAATTGTCCCCATGTGCTCCTTACCACATGAGGTAGACAGAATGTTACATGGCCTGTTTTCATCTCCATCCACTCTTCCATTTACTATTCTCAATGATGAAGTATCATTCTGAATATGTGGTGTCTCTTATGTTTACTGACAATGAATAAAAAAAATGTGTTGCTCTTAGTTTGTCCAATTTCAAATTCTCCTATAGTTCAGCAAAACAAATTACCTTTGGAATCACATATGCCTTTTCAGCACAATGTATAAGCATGAAAACTAGCTGATTTGACTATACTTGTGCATTTAGCCAAGCATAGCACTTTCTGAATTGCTTTGTCCTTTTGACATCTGACTTAAAGTCAGGGGCCTCTTTCCACTTTGACAGAATTTCCCTATCTCCCCTCTTTCCTTTCCATCCCCCATAGCTACCATTTCTTCACTTTTATTTTTTAAAAATATTTATTTATTTAGTTGTAGTTGGACACAATATCTTTATTTTACTGATTTATTTTTATGTGGTGGTGAGGATCAAACCCAGGGCCTTGGATGTACTAGGCCAGCACTCTACTGCTAAGCCACAACCCCAGCCCCTTCACTTTTATTATAGTTTCAGTACCTTATTTGCACTTGTCACAAAATCTATCCCTACCCCTTTCCTTTTTTCTCCTTCAAATATTCCCTTCCTGCCCTGATTCTGAGTCATGAAAAGAGAAACTACCATGGCAGGAGCCATCAGGAAAATACTTTTCCCTCTAGACAATGACTTAGTGACGTTTACTTTATGGATAATATGTTTGGAAAAGGTTTAGTCTCTTCTACTTTTTTTTTTTTTCAGAGCCTTGCATATGCTGGACAAGCACTCTACCACTGATCTAAATCCCCGACCCTCTTTTTGCTTCTTGAAAGAGAAGAACCAAATGCAGCTGTAGGGTAAAAAGAGAAAAAAAAAAAAAAGAGTAAAAAGAGCAAAAAAAAAAAAAAAAAAAAAAAAAAAAAAACTGGATTTGGAATACCTGGATTACAATAATTGTTCTGCTAATTAGTAGCTGTGTGACTTCATTGCCTTAATGATTTTGTTCTGCTGCCAAATACAAACCAGTTTGGCACATTATTTGTACACTTAAAATATGTGATCTCTAAAACATTTTAATGGTGTGGAGAAGACATTTGAAATGAAAAAAGATCACTATAGATCTGAACAAATAACTTAAAATTTACTGAGACTCAGTTTTATAATCTGTAAAATAGGTATGATGATGCCTACCTCACATGATTAAGGGTTAACAAAGATACTGTATGTGAAAGAGTCTGGAAAATGGATAATGTTAATTAATGTTTCCGTAAGTTAGAATGCTTCCTACACTCCCTCCATCCACCCAACCCCCAACAAATTCCTCAAATCCAAATCTGCATATTCTTTCTCAGTCACATTTCAAGAACCAGCCTAAAATGCACCACTTTACAAAACTTTTCTAAACAACTTCATGCAGTATGGTCTTTTGGTTAAGCTACTGGGCTTCTGGAATCAGAAAGGACTCCCAAATTTAAAACCAGGTCTGAGCTGGTGTGGTGGCCAACGCCTGAAATCCCAGCAGTTTGGGAGGCTGAGGGAGGAAGATTGCAAGTTCAAAGCCAGCCTCAGCAATTTAGTGAGGCCCTAAGCAACTTAGCAAGACCTTATCTCAAAATTTTAAAAATTAAAAGGGCTGGGAATGTGGCTCAGTGGTTGAGCACCCCTGGGTTCAGTCCCTGGTACCAAAAATTAAAAAAATAAAATAAAATAAAAAACCAGGTCTGCCATTAGTAGCTCCATTACAAGTCATTTATTCTCTCTCCATTTAAATTTCCTGGGCTGGGGTTGTGGTTCAGTGGTTAGACCACTTGCTTATCACATTTAAGGCACTGGGTTCCAAACTCAGCACCACATAAATAAATAAATAAATAAATAGAACAAAGATATTGTGTCCATCTACAACTAAAAAATAACAAGAAAAAAATTACATTTCCCAAGTGTAATATGAGATCATCATACAGGGTTGTGGAGGATTAAATAAGATATACAGTTAGAGCTCTCTGACCAGTATTAAGTCTTCCACGAATGTTTCCTCTTTAGTAACATATTAATAAAAATGTTCACCCTGCTTCTAAAGTTGTGGCAAAGTTCTAATGCAGATCTCTTACACTGTAATACTGAACAAACATCAGATATTGATACACGTATACCTTGAGATATTCTGGGCAAAGTTCTAAGCTCACTATTATAGAATGTGCTTTCCTTCAATCGCCTCCACTGAGAATAATAAGACCCAGTATTAATTAATAGGATATAAAAATCAGAAGTACATCCCAGGGATACAACTAGCTGACACCCAAAGAGCAGCAAGAAGAGAGCAGCACCTGCCAACGGACCTCGAAAATTCCCTGCAGTTCACCTCCAAAGGCCCCCTCCCCTTGGAGCTGCGCAAGCGTACACTGATTTTGCACCTCTCTCCCTCATTCCCCCGCCTCCAACATCCCTGCCACAATCGATCTGCACAACACGCAGGCGCGTCTCCTCAAGTCCTATCTCCACCCCCGCCTCTTTCTCTTCAGTTCTTCCCCCTCCTCTTCCAGCACCTCCGCAGGTTCAAACTCTTCTTGGTGAGAGTGGCGGCGATCTCGAGGTCACGTGATGAGCATCCTGCTGCCCAACATGGCGGAGTTCGACACCATCTCGGAACTGGAGGAGGAGGAAGAAGAAGAACCCGCTACGTCGTCGTCGCCGCCGTCGTCTTTGTCGTCTGTTTCTGGGCCTGATGATGACGAAGAAGAGGAAGAGGAGGAGGAGGAGGAGGAAGAAGAGGAGGAGGAGGAAGAGGAGGAAGATGATGATGAGGAGGAGGTGCCGCCCCCGCCTCGGGTAGTGAGCGAGGAGCATCTGCGGAGATATGCCCCGGACCCTGTACTGGTGCGCGGCGCAGGCCACATCACTGTGTAAGCAAGAGGGGGCCATGAGGTTTGAAAAGGCTGTGATTTGGAGACAGAGAAATGATAAGACGATCGAGGGGCCTGTGGAGTGGGGGGAGGGCTGACTGAGGCGTACCTGGCCAAAACGGAGAAACGAGGGTGAATAGGAATAAAGTAAGTAAGGAGAATGTGAGCCTGTGAAGAGTAAGCGTATGACTGGGAACTTAGGGGTTTGAAAGCCAGAGAGAGGTATTGGAGTAGGGGTGAGTATCCTTTCGTGTAGGTATGGTGGCAAGTGAATATTTTCTAAACTGCAGGATGTACTAGAGGGTTCTTTGCTGCCAGGATCGGTGCCTAGTGGAAAAACGGTGACTGCTGTGACATGTGAGGAGAACTAGGTTTGGATTCTTTTATTTATTTATTTGTTGTTCAAAAGGTTTGGATTCTAAAAAACAGAAACGTGATGTTTTCTGAATAATGTAAACATCCATCCACCTGCATATTCATCCATCCATTCTTCCTGTCTAATCCTTATATGAATGAATACAGTCATTCTTTCCCTGTTTAGAGCACTATTCAGTCTGACGTTCCTTAAATATAGGCAGCTATGGAAATAGAGCAGGGGATTGAGTCTGGGGTATCTTGCAAGTGCGAGTGCTTCTTCCTGGCCCTGTGACCTTGGTCATTTGCTTCCCGTGTGTGGGCCTTGGTTTCTTAATATACAAAATGAGGATTTGGAGTAGGTTGTTTCTAAAACCTTTCAGCTACGTGATAGTTTAAAATATCTCCAGTGGATTTGTTTTTGCCTTAATACTAAATATATTAGTATTAAGTGTATGTGGAAATTAATCCTCCAGAAGGTGAGGATGGTTTCTTAAAAATTTGCCAGTATGGCTTTTTAAAAATTGAAATCTTGTATCATATTTCATAAAATAAAATGAGAAGGGACTACATAACATTTTAGTTGCAAAGCAGAAAAATAAGAAAAATTGATAGCTCTCTAGGTTTTGAAGATTACTTCCTCATATTTATTTGCTTGAATTGTAAATACTTGAAAATTTAAGTATTGTGTTAGTATTCATTCTTAATTCTGCTACCTTTTATTGCTTTTTAAAGTAATTTTTTAGTTGTAGTTGGACACAATATCTTTTAATTAGTTAATTTATTTATTATTTTATTTATGTATTTTTATAAAACTAACCAGCTTTAATACCAGTGTAGGTCTCTCTTAAATACAAGGTCCCCAGGACAGAGCCAGGGGCCTGCTCTTGGCAGGAAGAGTGGAAAGGAAACGTGAACAAAATGGAGTGGATTGGCAGGGCAGCCTGCCAGGGATGGAGCTGCTCATGGGGCAGGAAAGAAGACAGCAGCTTCCTCAGGTCCAATTATTGCTAAGGCCTGGTGGGCTCTGCTGCTCTCCCAGCCCCAGAGCAGTTCCCAGGATGGGTTGTCCCTCTGGCTCTGGCAGAGCCTACACCTGGGCTTCTCTGATCTGGGAAGAGCCCTGTGGTCCAAAAGGACATCAATTTATTTATTTTTATGTGGTGCTGAGAATCAAACCCCGACATGTGCTAGGCAAACATTCTACTATTAAGCCACAATCCCAGCCCAGTGTGAGTGATATTGCATGTAAGTATACCTATCAGTTTTCTTTCTTTCTTTTTTCTTTTTTTTTCTTTTTTTTTTTTTGCTGATGTTGGGGATTGAACCCAGGGCTTTGCACATCCTAGGCAAACACTGTACAACTGAGCTATATTCCCAGGCCTCCTCTATTGGTTTTCTTCTTGATATTTTTAGGAGAACTATTTGGATCCAATGTGTTGAAATACAGAAAAAAATACATCTCATGAGATTTTTTTTCCCTATTTATAGACATTACCACATTCTTTATATTTCTTAAAACATGGATGTTTACTCTTGATAGCACACTTGTGTAGAAATTAGTAGGGGCTCTAGATTAACCAAATCCCAGGGATTCATAAAATCATTTCATTAAAACTAATCTAAGGGCTGGGATTGTGGCTCAGTGCTCAGTGGTAGAGCGCTCACCTAGCATGCATGAGACACTAGGTTTGATCCTCAGCACCACATAAATATAAAATAAAGATATTGTGTCCACCTAAAACTAAAAAATAAATATTTTAAAAAAACTAATCTAAAAAAGCTGAAGTTATTAGATATAGAATTGAAAAAGATGGCTGGGTGCAGTGGTACAGGACTGTAATCCCAGCTGCTCTGGCAGCTTGGGAGGCTGAGGCTGGAGGCTTGGGAGGCTGAGGCCAGAGGCTTGAGAGGCTGGTGGAATGCAAGTTCAAAGTCAGCCTCAGCAACTCAATGAGACCTTGACTCTAAATAAAATACAAAATAGGGCTGGGAATGTGTCTCAGTGGTTGAGCACCTCTGGGTTCAATCCTCAGTACCAAAGAAAAAAGGAAAAGAAAAAGATGGCCAAATTTGCCAAACAGCACATTTCTATAAAAACTTAGCACTGCAAATTTTTGATACTTCCCAAATCAGTAAATGGAATGCCTCGTCTGTCAGCTGTTTTTGAGGCATTACAGTGATGCATTGTTAATTTGCATTTATGTGTAGTGAATATTTCATAAAGTTTTAGGCTTTGAGAATGCTGAAGCTATCTGACTTGCCATTGTTACAGTGTATAAAGACATGATTATTTCCATATGAAAGATAAGTGAGATTTAAATAGAATCTTTTAAAAAATTATATTATATGGCATAGTCTTTCCTTGATAAAGTAAATAGAATTCAGAGCATGTGCTTCAGACCTAGTTCTAAGTTTTCTAGTGAAATCATGTTTCGTGTTGGCAGAATTTTATTATGCTTAAGCAACCTGGGCACAGGAACTTTAATTTGTGCAAGGTTTGAAAGGCTGACGTATAGCTGTTTTCAAAAAGATGAAAAGGGAGGGAAGAAGAGGGAAGAGCAACTAAAAGGACACATTCTTCTTTGCCTCAATCTCCTTTACTACAAATAATTGTTCCAAGAAATTAAAAATTGGGGCATTGAAAACACTTGACAGGGCTGGTGTTGTGGCTCAGAGGTAGAGCGCTCACCTATCATGCCTGAGGCACTAGGTTCTATCCTCAGCACCACATAAAAAATAAAATAAAGATATTGTGTCCATCTATAACTAAAAATTAAATATAAAAAAAAGAAAACACTTACAAAGAAAATGCAATAATTGAGAATCACCAGCTGGGTTGGCTTCAAACACATAACAGATTCTATATTTAATGAAATCGATAAAATGGCAGCCTGAGCAGTTCCCAAGTGCCTGTTTGTCTGATACTAAAGAGCCTCACATCTTGGGCTAATATCTATCAATGATGAATAATAAGTGGATGAGATTGTCTAACCTCTGTGGACTCACAGTTCTTAATGGGTTGTTTATGAAACAGGTGAGGTATTTTATTCATCAGCAATCATTTCAGCATTTTGCTAGTGGCTAGTAAGTGAAACTCTTGGGCCTAAGGTTCTTTGAGTTAAATATTCTCTTTATGTGCTCAGTTTCTAAAGAGAAAAATAATCCCTGGTAGGCAAAAACAGGATTGCTACTTTTAGCCAAAATTATAAGAGAGAAATAGCATAGTTTGCTTTTCTTCATACTTTTTTGATGTGGATATATAGTTAGTTCACATCCACAGATTGAACCAACTGCACATCAAAAATATCTGAAAAAAAATCACATCATACTGAACATGTACAGGCATTTTTATTGTCATTATTCTCTAAACAATACAATGTAACATTTACATGGAATTTATATTGTATTAGTTATTGTAAGTAATAATAGAGATTATTTGAAGTATACAGAAGGGTATGCATATGTTATATGCAAATACTGTGTTGTTTTAATATAAAGGGTTTGAGCATCTAAGGAGTTTGATACCCAAGATGGGCCTGGAATCAATTCCTCATAGAATACTGACAGGGGCAATTGTACATAGGTCACCAGGGAGTGTTTTAGGAAGTAAAATAATACTTTCTTTACCATTTCTAATATACTTTTTTAGAAATAACAATTTTTATATTAGAGAAAAATCAGTAATGTTAATATAGCAAATATTTCTTAAGAACTTCAGCACTGGGGCTAAGTACTAGGAAGAATACAGAAAAAACAAAATACAGGTCTGGCTTTACAAACCTAACCAGAACATTTCCTTTTCGATATTTATATGGGGCAGCAAAGAATTAAAGATAATATTTTAATTGCTGAATTGTGTAATACAGATCAGAAGTGATTATGAGTGTTCAGAGAAAGGGAATCCATATTAACTTGAGCATTCAAGGCATTATAGTGGGGTTGGAACTGAAGGCTGTGTACAATTTGAACTAAGGACAGGAAGCAAGAAAATCATGGGCAAAGACCAAGGCAGTGGCAATGGGAAGGAAAGAATCATTATGAGAATTTAAAGGAGCAAGTGACTGGATTTGGGGAATATTTACTTTAATAAAGGTGCAAAAAATAGGAGAGGGAGGGTGCAGAAAAATGATAACCAAGGTCTAGGTTAAGGGAAGAGAGTAAAGTACAAAGAGGAAACAGTTTCCAAGAAAGGGTTACATCTAATTTTAGATATGTTTTACTTGACGTCATATATTCTTTTGTTACCAGGGATTGAACCCAGGGGTACTTAACCACACTGAGTCACATCTCCAGCCTGACTATTATTTTGTGGCAAGATATCCAAATGGAAAATTTCATTTTACAATTGAAGATGAAGGACTAGAGCATGTTGGAAAAATACCTGTTACTAGAGAAAATAGATTGGATGGCATTAGCATAGGTGAGATTGTCCAAGCTATCGGATGCTAATGAACTGCAGACTTGCCTTTGTGAAGCAAATGAGTTAAAGGTGAGAGTTGGTGTAGAATGAAAAGAGTAGGAATGTTAGGAAGGAAATCATCAACAGTGTCACAGCTGCAAAGTCAAGAGAGAAATTTTCTACTTAGAGGAGGACATTAAATTTGGCAGTAAATAAGACAAGAAGAACTTATCTTTGCTGAATAAAAAATTATTTTCAGTAAAATGGCAGCATCAAAAAAATCAGGGGCTGGGGTTTTGACTGAGTGGTAAAGATCTTGCCTAGCATGTATGAGGGCACTGGGTTCTATCCTCAGCATTATAAGTGAATAAATAAAAATAAAGGTTCATCCACAACATTTATATATATATAATAAGCTTAATAAATATTCCATCTATTAAAAAATATCAGATTTTAGCCTGGCACATGCCTATAATCCCAGCTGCTCTGGAGGCTAAGGCAGGAGGATTGCAAGTTCAAAGACAGCCTCAGTAGCTAAGCAAGCCCCTAAGCAAATCAGTGAGACCCTGTCTCTAAATAAAATATAAAAACGGGCAGGGGATGTGGCTCAGTGGTTAAGTGCTTCTGGGTTCAATCCCTGGTACCAAAAAGAAAAGAAAAAAATCAGATTTCAAAAGGTTAATAAAGGGAAATGGAAACAGTGGAGGGTTCCTTTATCTGGTGATAAGTACAACTGAAATAAGCAAAGCTTAAGAATTTTTCTTTTGTTTTGGTACTGGGAGTTGAACCCAGGGGCACTTGACCACTGAGCCACATCCCCAGCCTTATTTTGTATTTTATTTAGAGTCAGGATCTCACTGAGTTGCTCAGCACCTTGCCATTGCTGAGGCTGGCTTTGGACTCATGAACCTCCTGCTTCAGCCTTCTGAGTCACTGAGATTACAGGTGTGCACCACCAAGCCTGGCTAAGAATTTTTAAAATAATAAAAATATTCTAAACATTGTGATAAATACATCTGTCTATATCTACTACTTATTTGATATCTAGTAAAGGAATGGCAGAACTGGCAAAAAGCTCAAATGGTAGAAAACTCCAGTTGAGGTAAAAGTATGCTATTGACATTGCATCTAAAAGGCATTTAGATATGATGTGAAAATAAAGCTCTACTTTAAAATATATGTCTTTCTTAAAAGTGAAAATCTATCAATTTTTTTGTTGCACAAGAAGAATTTACTCTGTGGAATAATGAATCATGTCTTTTTTGAGTAGTGATAAAGCCACTAAACAATTATTTATTAATTTATTTATGGTACCAGGGGTTGAACCCAGCACATTTGCTTAATCACCGAGCCATATCCCCAGCCCTTTTTGATATTTTATTAGAGACAGGGTATCCCTGAGTTGCTTAGGGCTTCGCTAAGTGGCTGAGGCTGGTTTGAACTTGCCTCAGCCTCCAAAGTTGCTGAGATCACTGGCATGTACCACTGTACCCATCTTAAATAATGATTTAAGTGAAATGTGTTTCTTTCTGTTAAAATAGTTGTCTCATTACTGAATACTAAATTAGCAAGTAAATAAAAATATATTTTAATACTATAATGTCAATTACTCAAGCAGCAGATGAAAATTGTTATAAAATTTATGCATAGGATATCCCATCTGGTTTTAAGTTTAGATGTACTATTATGTCTATAGATTTAGAGGGAATATGTATTCTCATTACATGTTGTATACACACCTGAACAGAGTTAATGACTGACTTTTTTGATGTAGTTAAAGTCTTTACAATTGGTAATTAATTTTCTTAACTATTTTAAATATAGAACTTTGATAAAAATACATTTCTTAACATACAAGATGTAGTATTTTTTGCATAGACATATATCATGCTAGTGGCTGCTACATATAGAGAGTGTTTGTGCTTAAGATTGGCTCATATCCTTGAAAATGAACTATTCACATAAATGATGTAAGGAGAATATGAAATTCTTGCATAGAGTTTTAATTAGATGTGGGATTCCTAACATTTCTTTAAAGCCCCTAAGACCAAACTAGCAGTTGAATCAAACATCAAACAATACAGTAACTTATTCAGTGAACTTTTCTGCAAACTTTTATTAAAAACCTACTAGAGCCAGGCATGGTGGCAAACTCCTGTAATCCTAGTGGCTTAGGAGACTGAGAAAGGAGGATTGCAAATTCAAGGCCAGCCTCAGCAATTTAGGGAGGCCCTCAGCAACTTAATGAGACTCTGTCTCAAAAAAAAAAAAAAAAAAAAAAAAAAAAAAGAAAAAAGTGTGTGGAGGCTGGGGGAGGGACCGCATGTAGCTTAGTAGTAAAGTGCCCTGGGTTCAATCCCTGGTACTGAAAAAAATACTGGATTGCATTATAGCATTATCTATAATGGAAGCAGCAAAATAACCCATGGTTTCTGTTCTCAAGGAGCTTAATACAGAACAGAAAAGGCATAGGGATCAGCATATGAATTTTGTTTTCCCCCACTTATTTAGTATATACATGACTTTGAGCAAGTCATGTAATTAATGTATTTATTTATTTTTTCTTATTGTCAGCTTCCTTGCCCCCAAAATGGGGATAATAATACTTCTCTTGAGGGCTTTTAAAATTTTGTAGTAATATACTTCGCATAGTAGGTAGCCTGGTAAGTACATAGTTATTGGTAACTTTTACTCTTACTGCCTTCCTTGTGGAGTTCTCAATGTTTTTGTTTACAACCTATCATCCTCTTAGTGTAAAATTGTAGTCACTATGATATGGTGTGACATTGAGGAAGTAACTATGTTGTCCCTACTGAAATCAACAAATAGGTGAGCAAAGCAAATAAAATTCATTTTGACTTCTTTAAAAATATTTTTATTAGTGTATTATAGTTATACATAATAATAGGATTCATTTTCACATTCATATATACAAGGAATATAATTTGCTCCATTATAATCCCCAGTATTTCCACTTTCCCTCCTTTACTCACTTCCCCTGCCCTCCTTCCTGTACTATAGTGGTCTTCCTTCTATTTCTTGTCTCTTTAATTGATGCTTTATAGATTTGCATAAAAAAGTGAATTCAGTGTGGTATATTTGTATATGTATATAGCATAATTTGGTCAATTTCATTCCACAGTTCCTCATTTTCCCGTCCCTCCTCCTTCCCTCTCAGTCTCCTTCTACTCCACTGATCCTTCTTCTTTTATCATGGGATCCTTCCCCTTTTATTTCCTTATTTCTCTCTAGCTTCTGCAAAGGAGAGAAGACATTTGCTCTTTGACTTTCTGAGTTTATTTCATTTAGCATGATACTTTCCAGTTCCATCCATTTACTGGTAAATGCCATAAGTTTGTTGTTCATTACAACCAAATAAAACTCCATTGGTTTATATCCCACATTTTCTTTATCCATTCATCTGTTAATGGGCTGGTTCTATAACATGGCTATTGTGAATTTCACTGCTATAAACAGTGGTGTTCCTGCTTTACTATAGTATGCTTAGTTCAGTTCCTTTGAATAAATGCCAAGGAGTGGGATTTCTGGGTCATATGGTGGTTCCGGAACATTCCTAGTCTTTTGAAGAATTTCCATAGTGTTTTCCAAAATGGTTGTGATAATTTGCAGTCCTACCAACAATGTATGAATGTGCCTCTTCCCCCACATCTTTGCTAGTATTTATTATTATTTTTATTCTTGATGATTGCCATTATAACTGGAGTGAGATGAAATCTCAGTGTTGTTTTGATTTGCATTTCCCTGGTTGCTAGGGATGTTGGACATTTTTTCATATATTGTCCATTGTATTTCTTCTTTGGAGAAATGTCTGTTTAGTTCTTTTGCCCATTTATTGGCTGTGTGTGTGTGTGTGTGTGTGTGTGTGTGTTAAGTTTTGACTTCTTATTACATATTTTAGTGAGCATAATGGAAGAGAAAGCCTTAGAGGGTGAAATCTGTTTTCTTAAAATTCATTGAACACATGAAAGCCACTCATAAGGATCAATCCTTGAGTATATTAAAAGTTATTAAGTCATATAGTTCCAAAGGCTACATTAATGGTAAAGAGGGGTATTTTTATTATGACATTTGCTCTTTTTTAAAATATTTTTTTAGTTGTTGATAGACCTTTGTTTTATTTACTTATTTATATGTGATGCAGAGAATCGAACTCAGTGCCTCACACATGCCAGGCAAGTGTGCTACTGCTGAACCCCAGCCCCAGCCCAACATTTGCTCTTATAAAAGTTCTTTTACTATTAATTTGGATTAAAAGTCAGAGATTTACTTTCTATAACTATCATATTTTTCCTCCACTGGGCTGGGAGTGTAGTGCAGTGATAGAACACTTGTCTTAGTATGCATGAGGCTCTGGCTTTGATCCCCCAGTACCAGAAAAAAAATCCAGGACAATTTTGTTTTTTAATTTAATGTTTTTTAAGACTCTGTATCTATTTCTTAAATTAAGTTTCTTTTAAACTGGTACAAAAACATAAAAATGCATATATTCAAGAGACATTTTAAAATCAGAAAACCAAAAGAAAAATAAACAGGCTTGTAACTTTTTTTAAAGAAAGGAAAAAGGTTAAATATGCTGGATAGAATATATTTTGTTCTTTGTTTTTAAGGTTTGGCTTGAGCAACAAGTTTGATACTGAATTTCCTTCAGTTCTAACAGGGAAGGTAAGTGAAATTTTGCTTTGAATTTTCCAATTCTAACTCATCGTTTTATGGCTTATTCAGTGTTATGACAAATTCTTTGACTCATTGGTAATTAAATCAAATACCAGGAAGCCTCCGAACTTGGAACCTGTGTTGGAGGTGACTAAAAGCTGTCTCCATGACTACCAGCCTCTGACCAGTTATTTCATCTGTTGTTCATTAATGCTGGCTATTATTTGTGTTCAGTTTTTTAACTTTTGCAATTTTTCCAGCGTAGGTAGCTATAATTGTATTCATTTAGGTCATTGATTTCCAATGTTTTATTAACAACATTATTTTTAATTGTATCACCATTTTTAAAGTGCCATGTGGTATGATTTGTTCTATATGTAAAGTATCAAATTTTTGGTTAGATATTGTTTTATCTTTCAAATAGTTTGAGTTTCTAAAATTGGACTCACTGTAAGAAATTATTACCTGTTTCCTTTATATTCATTAGAATAGTCTTGCATTGAGGCTTAATTCGAAGACTTCTAGGATTGAAAACCTAGAGACCTAATGTACAGCATGATGACTACAAATAATAATATTGTATACTGGAAATTTGTTAAGTGAATAGATTTCAGGCACAAAAGATAACTAAGAAAATAGATGTTTATTTACTTGACAGATAATCATTTTACTATGTATATGTATATCAAAACATGTTATATCTTAAATATATGCAATATTAAAAAGAAACTAGTTTTAGAAAATCCTAGTAACACTAATGTTAACTTTCTAGACCCAAAGAAGAAGACTGCCTAAAACTCAAAAAGTTATATTAAACCCATTTGATATTTGAGGAAACACAGAATAAAAAAAAGCAATTATAGTACAAAGTATTCAGTATTTTCTAATAACTGAAATGATGATTTGAGGTTAAAAGAAGTTAACATATTTTGGAGCCTGGAATTTAATTTTATTCTGCTTAATTTTAGGGTTTGTTATTTGTCAGTATAGATTTTGGTCATATTTTAAAATCATTCTCTAAAGGGCTTCTATGTTATTTTAGTGTTAATTTTTCTTATATTTTTAGCAGGAGAAGCAAGGTATAAATCAGTGTGTATAGTATATATAGGAAGTGAGAGAAATAAGCACATAAATAATTGTATTTTGCATAAAGAAATTCCAGAAAGATATACATGAAACAATATGAACTATTACCTTTGATGAGAAAAGGAAAATGAGATGGATGGAAGCAAGGGTGAGAATGAGGCTATTTTCTGAACATCTTTTAGCATTGTTTTTCATTTTTTATTCTAATTTGTTATATATGACAGCAGAGTGCATTATAATTCTTATTACACATGTACAGCACAATTTTTCATATGGTTTTCATTTTTTAATTATGCAGCTATTACCTTTTGAAATTTAATTTACTTTTAATTTGTTCTCTCTTCTTCTAAATTCTTCCCTAAAATAATCTCCTTGTACTAATATTAGCTCTTTTTTGTCATGATGTGTTTTTCAGCTGTTTACTCTTCATTTTTAAAGGCCTAATTCCAATCTTCCCCTGCTCTCCCCCAGCCACCTTGTGATTGGGAGAAGAGAAAAAGATTCCAAAATAATTTCCTTTTTCAAGATGTATCTCAGAAATCATAAGACATTTCAGCTTAATTTATTTAACCCTGAAAGGTAATTTATACTTTATTTGGCTCACAGAGTATACAAGCTTTGTAGTCAGGTCTTGGTTGCAACCCATGTTCTATTACTTCCTGGCTATGGGCTTTGGGTAAGCCACTTCTGAGCCACACTTCTTAGGTGAAAAATAGAGATGATGCTGATAGTTACCTCACTTTTTTGTGTTGGATTAAATGAGCATGCATATATGCAATTCCTAGTGTATTCTCAGGTACATATTAACTCCCCAGTGTTAGTCTGGGTTACTGTTAACTATTCTCAGTGTATTCCAGTTTCACCTTGATTGTTTTTTTAGGTTACTCACTTTCTTTCTATTTCTAACTGCCTTTACCACTTTTTCTTCATCTGAGTAATAATTTATTCTTTGGTTCCACTACTAATTTGGGTATTGATTGTTGGCCCTTTTTATATCTCCTGAAGTATAATATTAGATCCTTCCCTATAATAATAAGCATAATACCAGGCTAAGTTAACATTTGAAAATACATTGCCGTTTAACTTTTTAAAACACAAAAGAAACCCCTTTGGTGTGAGATTTTGGCCTTAATTTCTGCTGTGTTCTACCTTCTTATCCTTATCATTTAGAATAATTTACAAATTGAAGCAGCAGATTAGATTTAGATTTTTTATACAGATTAATCATAAATGTTTCCTCCAAATGAATAAAATAGTCATGAAAGTATCTCTTGAATTCTATATGGTAGAAAGATGATAAATTCAGTATTAAAGAGAATGAATTAAAACATCTGCAATGGAAGACATTCTCTACATTTCTCTTGAAATTCTGCATGTGTTGTCTTTAGCAGTTTCATCCAGCTTTAGTATTGGCTTAGTATTTTTTTTTTTTAGAGAGAGAGAGAGAGAGAGAGAATTTTTTAATATTTATTTTTTAGTTTTCAGCGGACACAACATCTTGGTTTGTATGTGGTGCTGAGGATCAAACCTGGGCCGCACGCATGCCAGGCGGGCGCGCTATTGCTTGAGCCACATCCCCAGCCCTTGGCTTAGTATTTTAAGTTTGAATTACAAGTCCAAGAAATTCTAACAAATGAAAAACCTAAAACTGTCAATGAGTTCATTTCCCAGTGTTAGAATTCTGTTTTGTAAATTGTTTTTTTTAATATTTATTATTTTTTAGTTGTAGTTGGACACAATATCTTTATTTTATTTTTATGTGGTGCTGAGCATCAAACCCAGAGCCTCACACAGGCTAGGCGATCGCTCTACCGCTGAACCACAATCCTAGCCCCAATTGGTCATTTTTTTTGTGTGCTCCAGGAATCATTAGAATATCTTTTCACACCTCAACAAAAAATTCCACACATCAGAAAGATAGTATAATTGTTTTAAATTAGAGGAATAAGAATGGTGAGCTACTTTTGGTATATTCACAGAGCCTAAATGATCAGGGTAGGAGCTGTTCTTAAAGCCATCCCTTCTTTTCAGGTGGCCATTTTGTAGCACACATCATAATAAATTGTTAAAATATTTAAAAGTGAATAAATACAATAGCTCAAATAGAAAAAGTACTCTTTATGAAATCAGTCTTCCAACATGTATGAGATTGTAAATAGCTTTTGTGCCTGCCTGAGGTAATCAAAATTGCAGAGTGAATTCTGAAAACCTGAAAGGCCATTTTGTCAGAATTCATTTTTTGCTTCTTGTGTGTTAAGAAAATGCAAAGAAAAAGGTAATATTTTATATTAAGTRCAGAAAAGATTGTTTTCCATGTTTCACTAAAGACCTTCTATCATAATAATTATCAAGCAAAGTATATGTACACAGATTCTGGTAACCAGAAAAAGAAAGATCTCAGAACTTCAGAAAGGAAATCAAAGGGGCTGCGGTGGCCATTTTGTAGCACACGTCAAATGATATGTGGATTTTATTCAAGTATGCATTATTTATAGTGTGCAAATTTTCTCATGTATTGGATAAAGCACTTGCCTAGCATGTGTGAGGCACTGGGTTCGATTCTCAGCACCACATATCAATAAATTAAAAAATAAAAGTCCATTGACATCTAAAAAAATATTTAAAAATAAAAGAGAAAAGAAAAGAAATTAAAGCTTCCGCCTCTCAGCTTGAAAGAATTAAATGATGTTATGGGAAGATTAGTGTGCAGTGTTAGGAATCTTAAACCATAAAAATTTACCTTTACTATTGTGATCCAATATGAAAAAGTAATTGATAGGGTTGTGTTCCTTACAACTGAAGGAGGCAAATCAATCCTGCTCGGGTTTGCTTAGATTTTCTTCTGTTTGTACAGTCTCCTGCATCCTGTTATAAAATATTAAGACCCTTTTTCCCACCTTTATGATGTAGTTTTTCTTTCCAAGAGAGTCAAAAGGAATGAAATGTTTCTTTACAGCCTACCATTCAGCTAGAAATTAAGGGGCTTCCAGCTAACCTTCATTACTGGAGATACTCAGTTACATGGAAGTAAATGAGTAAGATGTTACTAACTCTGATTCTACACAGTTAACTAAACATGTCTTTCACATTGTTTAAAATTGAGAGTTAACCAGTTCTCATTTCCTATGCCTTTATCTCTATTTTATGACTTTTACTGTTATTCAATACAGTTTTTTTCAAAGACAGTCTTGGCCTCCTTTTAAAGTCAAAATGAAGATCTTAGTCTATTGTTTTAAAATCTAGTAAAAGTTTTACTTCTTTATATTTGATGACTTCAAAAATTTGAATTCTCAATTTTATTGACTTGAATATTTTAATGTTTAATTTGTCTGTGGTAAGAGTATAAACTGAAACTATTTGTTAAAAGTGGAAAGTGTTAGTGGGGATGAAGGAAAATTGCCACATTTTAGAAATGTTTTTGTTTTCACTTCCTGAAACATGTAATAAAACATGTTTTATTAAGAAATCATATGCCTTGGCATATAATTTATTTCATTTACCATGTTTTTTTTTAAATCCAGATTTTCTTTTCCCTTTTTGTTTTTTAGCTTTAATATCCCTCAGACTTTTAACACCTTCTTCCCTAGTGGACATAGAGTTTTCTAAAGCTCCATAGCTCAGTTCTTTGGACTGACTCATTTCTGCATTTAACTTTTACTTGGTTACTTTTTTTACCCTTTACTTTTTAAAAAAATATTTACTTTTTTAGTTTTAGGTGGATACAATATCTTTATTTTATATTTATGTGGTGCTGAGGATTGAACCCAGTGCCTCATGCATATTGGGTGAACACTCTACCACTGAGCCACAACCCTACCTCCCACCCTTTACTTTTAATATTTGTGAAGTGTACTTGTATTTACTTTAAAATAAAAATTTAGATTCTAAGCTTTTAAATTTGTTAATGGGCAGAGTAATAATTTTATGATTTGTATGAGTTTATATCATAATTTGCCATATTTAAAATGTATTATTGATTCAGAATGCAGAATTTTAAAAGATTTGGTAGTGATATTATGCTACAGATTGAAGCTAAATGTGTATTTTTCTTTATTTTAACTTTTACTTGGTTACTCAGTAATTCCCTAGGAAAAAGAAAGTTGAATACCTCTCTTTTGGAGAGGTAAATCTTTTTTTAAAAAATATTCTTTTAGGGACTCTGGTTCAGCAGTAGAGCACTTGCCTCACAAGTGTGAGGCACTGGGTCCCATCCTCAGCACCATGTAAAAGTAAATAAACAAAATAAGGCATGCTGTCCATCTACAACTTAAAAAATTTTAAAAATAAATAAATACAATAAAATATCTTTTAGTTATACATGGACACAATATCTTTATTTTGTGTATTTTTATATGGTGCTGATGATTGAACCCAGTGCCTCACATGTACAAGGCAAGCACTCTGCCACTGATCCACAATCCCAGACCCTGGAGAGGTAAATCTTAAGGTAGTAATTTGATACCTTGTTTTTTAAAAGGACATGGGGGTCCGCTGAGGTTCTGAGGTTGTAGCTCAGTGGCAGAACACTGGCCTCCCAAGTGGAAGGCACTGGGTTTAATCCTCAGCAACACATAAAAAATAAAATAAAGGTATTGTGTCTGTCTACAACTAAAAAAAAAAAAATTTTTTTAAAAAGAACACCAAGAGGCTGGGGATCTTGCTTAGTGGTAGAGTGCAAGTTTTAGCACACATAAGGCTCTGGATTCAATATCCCACACCAAAAGAGAGAGACAGAGAAAGAAAAAGATCATCTTCTCTGAAGACTTGAAGAAATGAAGAGCACTGAATCTACATCCAAAATGTAGCAGTTATCTTTTTTATAACATATTATGAAATAATATATAATGTAATATGATAATATCCTTTTAATAATATCTAGGAAAACTGTGGACTATAAGTAATTACCTGATTAAACTGTCTGCTTTCAGGTGAGATTCCTTGCAAAAGACAGCTTTTCTTTTCTTTTTATCAAATCTACTCAGAGATATGATTTACAAATTTCTTTGTCAGAGTATTTCATTCAGGAAGTTTTAAGATGTAATTTCCATTCCCAGTGAGTATATAAAATAAAGATTATTATTCCGGTTTATAAATGAAAAACTAAGACTGAGAAAAACTAAATAATTTTGCCTGGGATTTTTCATAGCTAATAAGAACTAGATTCAGATCTCTTTGATTTATTGTCTAATGTGCATAAATTATGAGTGTTTTCTATTTTCAATTATAAGGCATGATTCTCTGAATCTTATTTTCATTTTTACCCCTGAAATTTTGGCACTTAATTGGAATTATTTTTTTACACGGTGATTGCCATTATGTCATGTTATTGACAGTCTAGTTGGAAAATGAAACTAGTTTACTTTTGTCATATAGGAAAAATTTTGAGGCTTATGGCTTGATAACTGTTGATTGTTAGGAAGAAAATCAGACTCATGTGCTAAGCAATTAACCTTATTGGATGATATGTACAATTCTAAGAAAGCTTATTATATGCTTAATGTTTTAATCATAATAGTCATGAATTCTTTGGTCATGTATTTATTTCTTTCGCATCTGCTAATAGATATGTTTTGTATGTTGATTCTAAGAAACCTGTTAAAAGATAAAATGTAATAATTTGTAAAAATTTTAATACAACTTTGTATTTGGGAAGTAGAGCTCTATAGTTTTGGTACCTAATGTACTAAGGAGTTTACATTTTAGAATACCTACTTTTCCTGCCAATTTCATAATTTTTGCTTTCATACTCTGATGCTGAAATATTTTCCCATAAATTTTGCCGTCTGATAGCTTTCTAAATTAAGAGTGATCAGTGTGTGGTCCAAAAATGTGATTTTACTGAGAACAACCTGTACACCTTTGAATTGTATAACCTTCAAGCAGAATTTTTGGTATCAATCTGATTGCTGGTCATGTTCATGCCTTTGAACTGACTTTGTCCTTTTCAGAGAGGCACAAGCAGCACATCCAGGAATTGGAGGTAGTAACTAGAAATATTAAATTTGTGTATTTAAAGACCTTTCAACTTTCAAAATTTTGAGCACTTATGAGTCCATTTTATGCTGAATATCAACAGACTGTTTTGAATGTAATTACTAAGATATTATCTTTTGTTAGTGTAAAGTTTCCCTGTAAACATTGGCAAGTCTTAAAATTGTTATGTTGCAACTTTGCCAGGGAGGAAAGGTTGAAGAGTTACCATTTTAGAATTAATCCAGTAGTATTGCCAAGTTCTAACTTGAATTCTGTTTCCTCTGGTAGTATTTGTTTTTTATTATTATTATTATTATTATTGTCTTATGCTTCTAGTCTGAATTCAGAGTACCTGAAGATTATAAACAATATTGCCTTAATAATGAGAATATTTGGTAACAAAACTGGTTGGTGGGTATCTTTTACCATCAGTTTTGCTACTGTCATTTTATTTGTTGGTCATTTCAAAAGATTTTTTCAAACATCAGGTTAAGATCTGGGAACATAAAATTATATTGTTTTACATTCCGATGTCTCCCAAGACCATGTGATACATATTTGTGGGAAGAGATGGGAAGAAAGTATATTTAGACATTGTTAATTCCTTAAAATGTTTGTAATAAGACATTTTCCTTATGTTTAGAGACAAGTAGTGGGAAGCTGCCCACAAATTGTTAAAGATAGTGCCCTTGTTGTAGGTGGCCCCAGAAGAATTTAAGACCAGCATTGGCCGTGTGAATTCATGTTTGAAAAAGGCTCTCCCAGTCAATGTGAAGTGGCTGCTCTGTGGATGTCTCTGCTGCTGTTGCACACTGGGTTGCAGCCTGTGGCCTGTTATTTGTCTCAACAAAAGAGTGAGTATAACCATTCTATTGTATAACAATAGTAAAAATTAACATTTATTGCACACTTGCTATGGGTCAAGAACTGTTTCCATGTACTTTACTTAATTTTATTTAATTTCCATAACAATGGTATCATTTTATTTAAAAAAATTAAGGTATGCAACACAGTAATTGCCATGTTTTTTTTAAATTGTTTTTTGTTTTTGTGGTGTGGGTATTGAATCCAGGGCCTTGTGCATGCATTTGAGGCAAGTACCCTACCAACTGAGCTATTTCCCCAGCTCCAATGGTATCATTTTAGAGATAAAGAAACTCTAAAATGAGCCATTTATCCAACCTTTATCAATACTTTATCACTTAATATGCATTCCTGTCACTTTAAGTAAATACAGTGAAAGTAAAGGACTCAGGTAAATATAAATATAGGTGGACTACTCATTCTCTTTATACAATCTGAAGCTATGACATAAAATGTTTCTAAGCTTCAGGTATATTGGAGAACTACTTCTAATCTGAAGAAAGGCATAAGAGAAAGTAACCTGCAAAGTTGTGTGTTACTGGGGGATCCTTAGTTTTGTATATGTTACAATAACATTCTAACAGCATTACTATTAGTTATTCCATGAAATTAAGACAACTATCTTAATCTGATCTGATTTAAAATTTCATTTTTATTTTGGAAATAATTTCCCAAGTGGGAAGACAGCTTTCAATATTGAAATTGAAGTCAATGAGGACAGTTCATTTTACCCCAAGTTCTTTTCCCAGTACTACATTAAGGATTTTATTTAATCTTTTAAATAATAATTAGCCTACTAAATCAGATTTAAAATTATAGCACCTTGAGGAGGAATAATGAGTGGTGCAGTTATTTGATTAAAGTGAAAAATAGTCCCAAGAAATAATTGTTATTTTTTTCTCCTCATTTTTCTCATTCCCTCTTTCATGTCTGCTTCAAAAAGACAAGTAATGCTGCCAATCCTATGAATTTTTTGAATGGAAGAGTAAAGCATTTTATTGATTCCCTTGGTAACCACCAGTAGATCAGAGCTTTACTTTAAATATAGCTTAATTTGTTTGTCAAAATATGGACAGTGTTTTCAAGTGACCTTCTGTAAGTAAAAGCTAAAAGCATAAATGTCTTTACTTAATTGTCACATCTTACCTTTAAAAGTTAAAATCAATAACTCCTATCCATCCCCATTATTTAAAAGCCTCAATGTGAATTAATCATGATTTGGATTTCCCATCATGTGAATGTAGCCAATCTCCAGTACTTAAGAACAGATTTTTTGTTTTTAATGTTTATCCAGGATTTATCTTCATTCTTTGACATATTTATGCTTTGCCTGTTTGTCAAAGCTTCCATCAAAGAACATGAAATAGAGGGCCGTGCACTGTGGAACACACCTGTAATCCCAGCAGATTGGGAGGCTGAGGCAGGAGGATCATGAGTTCAAAGCCAGCCTCAGCAAAAGCGAGGTGCTAAGCAACTCAGTGAGACCCTGTCTCTAAATAAAATACAAAATAGGGCTGGGGATGTGGCTCAATGATTGAGTGCCCCCTGAGTTCAACCGAGTTCAATCCCCGGTACCAAAAAAAAAAGAACCTGAAATAGAAACAAGTTTTTCACTCATTTAATTTTTTTCACAATATTTTTATTTATTTATTTTTATGTGGTGCTGAGGATTAAACCCAGTGCCTCATTCATGTGAGGGAAGTGCTCTACCACTGAGCCATAACCCCAGCCCTCACTCATTTTATTTCATTTATTTATTTTTAAATGAATGCAATACCTTCTTTATTTATTTTTATGTGGTGCTGAGTATTGAACTCAAGTGCCTCACACATGCCAGCCCCATTTGATTTTATTATCAGCACTTCTTTTTTAAAAAAATTTTTTTCTAGTTGTAGATGGTCACAATATCTTTATTTTTATTTATTTTTATGTGGTGCTGAGGATCGAACCCAGGGCCTCATGCTTGAGAGGCAAGCACTCTACCACTAAGCTTCAACCCTAGCCCTTATTATCAGCACTTCTTAACAGAATAGTCAGTGGAAAAAAAAAATGAGATAATACTAATGCTGTGATCTTTCCCTATCTTCTATTACTTTGTTTAATTAAGAGTTTATCCTGAAATTGAAATATCAGTGTAATCTTTTTAAATATTTTTTTAGTTGTAGATGGATACAATATCTTTATATATTTATTTTTATATGGTGCTGAAGATCAAACCCAGTGCTTCACACGTTCGAGGGAGGAGCTCTACCACTGAGCTACAGCCCCAGCCCCGAAATATCAGTTATTCTAATCACTAATCTATGAATTTTAAGAAGATAATACAGATTTGCAAATCTTCATCCCATGAGATAAATTCAGCTCACTTTGTCTTTTAACATTTTAATCATTTAAAAATTGGAATATTGGGACTGGAGATATAGCTCAGTGGTAGAGCACTAGCATGCATGAGGCCCTGGGTTTGATCCCCAGCTCTGCAAATGAATACATAAAAGTTGGAATATTTAAAACAAAATTTGTGATATCTGATCTGTCATAAAACCTAAAGATCTGACAATCCTGGATCCACATGCCTATCTGTCAACAGTGAATTCTAGCTTGGTAGTGGTTTCTCCCTTTAAATAGGACATATAGTTTTTGTTCACAACAAAACTATCCAGCATTTTCCTTATCTGCCTTTTTCTGTAGGATTATAGTTCATGACCCCTGATTTCGCACATGGCATATTGTCAATGATACACTAGACAATGAAATATTAAGCCATGCTGATAACCACTGTATAAGGCACTGTCCTTTCTGGAACATGAGTTTCCTCACTTATAAAATCAGGATAATATTATTTACTTTTAAGGTAGATATGATGAATATGATATTTTAGGCATCTCACTGCTTTTGTGTCTACAAGGAGAATTTTTTAAAAAAATACAATTTTAAGAATATTTATGCCTTCGCTATTGCTTCCTAATCCATAAAATAAGTTGTATAGACTGTAATAGTTGAGTTGCAAGGATGATTAGTCTTCATATAGCCCAAATCCCTTATTTTACAGTTGTAGAAAGTAAGATGAAGAAAGGTTAGGGGACTTTTCCAGGGCCTCATAGAAAATGGCACAACCAGAAACAAACCTCGTTTTATTTTTTGTTTCTAACTCTTTATTCTCTTGACAACATGTTCCTTATATCAGATTTTCTATTCCTGAGACAGGAAATATTTGGAGAGGTAGTATGATAAATGGTTGACCTACTGTGTTTTCATTCTCTAGCAGTGATTGGAAAACTTTTTCTTAAAGAACAAGATAGTAAATATTTTCAGCTCTGTCTTCCACAGTTCTCTGTGACATCTGTTTACCTCTGTCTTTGCAGCATGTAAATAGCCATAAACAATACTTAACTGAGTGAGGTATTGCCATGTTGCCATAAAACTTCATTTACAAAAATAGGCAGCAGGCCACATTTTGCCCAGTAGGTTGTGGTTTGCCATCCTTCTCTAGCCATCTCTAATTGGTTATATAGCTCTATGGAAGACATGTGTTTATCCAGAAAATAAGGTAGAAATAATATGATTACTCAGTCCTGTATCACAAAGTTGCTATATGGATCAATGATTATAAAGTGTTTCCAAGAAGAAAACTTCTATGTAAATAGTCTACCCTATGAACTATTTTTTGGTTTTTCGCCGGCAACCTGGCAGGACCAGGACCTCACTGTGCTGGCTGGGCCTGGTCTCCTGGCTCAATCTTGTCTGTCCCAGCCAAAGCCACTTCTGGGGAATTGGCACCTTTGGGGTGGCGGTGGGCGTGGCATGGCCAGGGCTTTGTGCCTACAAGGCAAGCACTCTATCAACTGAGCTATATCCCCAGCCCTCTGTGGACTATTTTTTTTGAGGTTTTTTCTTTTCTTTTTTTTTTTAGAGAGAGAGAGAAAGAGAGAGAATTTTTAATATTTATTTTCTAGTTATCGGCAGACACAACATCTTTGTATGTGGTGCTGAGGATCGAACCCGGGCCACATGCATGCCAGGCGAGTGTGCTACCGCTTGAGCCACATCCCCAGCCCCTCTGTGAACTATTTTTAACCAGTATAATTCATGGACATTTTCTTTAGCAAATTAGATTGCAGAGAAAAGAAATACAGATTGGATACCTTGAGTTCCCTGCAGTAACTCTTGACTCCCATGAGAACTCCATAGTGACATGGTATATGAGATGAGGTTTTCATTGATCTGTTCTTACATCCACCACTGAAACAACTCATAGTTAGTTTTTAGGCCTAGCTATGCCAACACCCTTAAATTTGAAATTACTTTTAATTTTTCCTATTTTTGCTGTAATATTTGATAAATTGAGAGTGATATTTAGAAGGAAGGGATTATTGTGTCTCAAAACATGAACATGATACTGTTTTAGGAGATAAGGTTTTTAATTCACTGTCTTATAAGAAAAAGCAAATTATAGAAACAAAAGCCCCACCTATACAGTATGCCATATGGAAAAGAAAATCAGTTTTTGCAGTGAGAGGCAATAGTTCTGCTACGAGTTAAACAGATTACCTGTAATCTCTATTTAGGACTTATGACCTTTCATAAAATACATTCTGTATACTCTTGGGCAAAGATAGCATGCATAGAGCCTAGTACATACACTTGGTTATAGCTTGCCTAGTTCCCTACAGTATACATGCACAACGGGGGTTTACTCAGCCATGAAGAAGAAAGAAATACGACATTTTCTGGTAAATGGATGGAACTGGAGAGCATCATGGTAAGCAAATTAAGCAAGTCTCAGAAAGACAATTATGTTTTCTTTCACATGTGGAAGTTAGAGGGAAAAGAAGAAAAGGATGTAATGAAAATGGAGGGGAAGGGACTGGGGATGTGGCTCAATGATAAAGTGCTTGCCTGGCATGCATGAGGCTCTGGGCCCTGGGTTCAAATAACCAAGCACCAATTTAAAAAGAAAGAAACAAAATGGAAGGGAAACCACCAGGGTAAA